TCTCTTTCGCAGCGACAATGCCAAGCATAGGGGTAAATTTAACGGGATTAAGACAATGCATCACAATGCACGAATGTTTATTTATCTATTTAGCAAAAAAAATCAGTCGAATGAGACTAGAAAATGTATGTGCGAACATGTTTTAGTTAAGAATAAAGGGTGTATGTAAACTTTATTGGTCCACTGTATATGTCATCCGTCAATTCACCGTGAGTTATTGACACTTCTACTTTTGACAATGTTCAAAAATGTATGGAAAATTCCAAACGTTTGTTTCGTCGTATCTTTCATCGATTAAAGCATTGTAGAAACATATCAGTAACAAAAGAATCATTTGGACGTTAACAGCTGAGATCACCTGATCGAAATAGTTGATTTTTCGGCGCAGAGATTTAAATAAAAGGGCTGAAAAATAGTAAAGAGGTTGCAGTATAGTCGCGTTAGCAATATTTTTTGGGCGTTAGGTTTCCCAAGATTCTCATTTTCACACTTTTAAAATATACAATCCTAAACCAAACTATTTGTAATAGTTAGTAATAAAATAGAAAAGACTTACCAATATTTTGATACATTAAATAAAGTTTTAATAGAAACTAGGTAAATTTACTATTTATGATTATATACAAATGAAATCAGTAAAGCATGTAATTTTTGAAATTATTTTCTACATCACTTAAATAAAACTTTTAACAAAAAAATCGCCCATCTAAAAYTTTTGCGTTCTAGACAATTGCCTAACTAACCAATATCTGAATCCATCGAAAACACAAAATTTCAAGAAACCACCATCCATGGAAAAAATAGGACGACACCCTTTGCGCCTCGTAAACAAACAGCTTTCAAACATACTATATCATGACATATTTATGGATATCAAGCTTCACACGTACATAAGAAGGATTAAACCAAAACAAAAAAAAAAAATTATATACAGTGGTACCTCGACATACGAGTGCCCAAACATACGAGTTTTTCCAGAGCCGACGAGCAAGTGATTTTTTGCTTTTAGTTACGAGCGAAATTCGAGATACGAGTGGCCTGAAGCTGTAGCTGAAAGGATCTATAAAAAATTGGAACTCGATGTTTCAGTAGAGAAGGCAATTGTATCTCTATGGAAATCCATTTATCAGGAGGTGGAAGAGAGAGACGTGAACGAGCTCATCGAGGAGCACACCACCAAGGAACTGACGACTGAGGAGATACAAGAGTTACAGTCGCAGCAGCATACTGAGCTTATGTAAGAAATTGCTTTTATGGAGTCAGAGGAGGAGGTTATTTCTACAAGTGAGATAAATTAGATCTTAGGAATGTGGGAGAGAGTTTCACAGTTCGTGAAAAAAAAACACCCAGAAAAAGTGGCAAAATGTCGTGCATCTGACCTTTTTAATTACCTGGCCTAACTCATGTCCGGATCATTCTGAGAGGGAGGAAGAAACAATTCTCCTTGGAATGTTTTTTTCTAAACGGCCTACAGGTGAAAGCGAGAAAAAGGCAAAGACCAGTGAGGATATGTAATTTATTTCTTTACATTCTCTTTTTTGTTTTTGTGTAATAAATATTTSATATTTATAAATACGTTTTTATTATTCAAAACCACGTAACAAAAATAACTGGAGTGACATTTAGGAGGTTGGAACGGATTAATGGTAGTTCAGTTGTTTTGTATTAGGAAATTTGCTTCGAGATACGAGTAATTCAAGATGCGAGCAAGGTTGCGGAACGAATTGAACTCGTATGTCGAGGTACCACTGTATTCATATTTTAACTATATGTATAGGTGTATAGCAAAATCATCTGTTATGTTAGATATATACGGAGGGTGTTAAAACAATGTTTTTCGAGGAAATCAAACCTTTYGTGTAAAATCATTATTCTTTCATATTTATTATATGTATTTATATTATCATTATCTGTATTTACCCATAAGTTATTCTTCTATAATTATTTCTTTTTCTATTGTAGCAAGAGAATAGTTAATATCATTAAAACTGAAGACGATGTTCACCTAGTGCATAGGGAAATGGCAAATGGAAAACAAGCAAAATCTGTCCAGGTAGATTTTGAATTTGTAAAATTTATACATAATCCTTTGCAAGTAATTCCATCTCTGTTGGCACAAAAATGTAAATGTAAAATACCTCTAGCTTTTTTTCACATTTTAAATAATAAATTTTTGTTGAATGTTTCGTATGCAAAATTTTAAGTTACCTTATTTTGTTTCCTTATTTAAATGTAGTCACTTATATGGACAATCCTTTTTAAATTGGATACAAAGATTTTTGCGTAATTTCATAAATTTTCAGGGTTACTTGTAGGAATACTAACCAGAGTAACATCTGTATAATTTTGCTGTGCAATAGTATTTTTTTTAACTTTTTTTTTTTAAAACTCATAATCTTTAAATCTTCTTGTGAATTTCTATTTTCTGCAATATTAGAGTGGGTCGATTTACAGGAGAGAGTCAAATAAAAGAAAAATCGCGAAAGAGGGAAATTTTGAACAGCTTTGCTAAGAGCCTGTGGAATTTTTTTAGGGATTATAAAAACTTGTTTATCAATTTTTGACATATCCGACCGAAAATTATTTATTAAGTGAATTTTGATATTCTATTGATCATTTGTCGCAATCAGCCAGATCGGATATTTAGATTTTTTAAATTTCGCCTTAAAAATCGCTAACCCGAAACCCGTCTTAGGCTCATAGCCTCTTAGGCAGAGTAGGTCATAATGATCCGATGAACATTATTCGCTTACGCGATATTATAGAAAATAAATTGACTAGCTCTACTGCCCATATCCATACACACATATTTAGATACTAATTTAAAGGTATTTCTCTGTCCATTGCTATTTTTTATAAATTTAGCTAAAAACTATTCTATTTTACTAAGTACAATCTTAAATTGTTTAAATACATTTACCATATACGAAATATTAAAAAGTTAAAAGCTGCACGAGTAGCATCAAATTAATTACTGAATCAACAGACATCATTATTTCGATACATGCTTTGTCCAGTTTTGGGTGTAATCTCTTGAGAAAATGTTAAAAAAATCATTAGGAAAGGGGCCAAGGCAACAGATGGTCGCTTTGAAATATTAGTTACAAGTGCTCACTACTGCTTCGCTAAACCCGATCCGTCATTAAATAGTTTTTATACTCTCGCAGCAAAGTTGCTAAAGAGAGTATTATAGTTTTGTTCACATAACGGTTGTTTGTAAGTCCTAAAACTAAAAGCGTCAGATATAGGGTTATATATACCAAAGTGCTCAGGGTGACGAGTTTAAATCCGGATGTCTGTCTGTCCGTCTGTCCGTCCGTCCGTGCAAGCTGTAACTTCAGTAAAAATTGAGGTATCATGATGAAACTTGGTACACGTATTTCTTGGCTCCATAAAAAGGTTATGTTCGAAGGTGGGCAAAATCGGCCCACTGCCACGCCCACAAAATGGCGGAAACCGAAAACTTATAAAATGTCATAACTAAGCCATAAATAAAGATATTAAAATGAAATTTGGCACAAAGGATCGCATTAGAGAGGGGCATATTTCGACTTAATTTCTTTGGAAAAGTGGGCGTGGCACCGCCCCCTACTAACTTTTTTGTATATATCTCGAAAACTGCTATAGCTATGTCAACCAAACTGTATAGAGTCGTTTCTTTTAGGCATTTCCATATACAGTTCAAAACTGGAAGAAATCGGATAATAACCACATCCACCTCCCATACAAAGGTTATGTTCAAAATCACTGAAAGTGCGTTAACCGACTAACAAAAAACATCAGAAACACTGAATTTTACGGAAGAAATGTCAGAAGAAAGTTACATCCAGACTTTTTTTAAAAGTTGAAAATGGGCGTGGCGTCGCCCACTTATGGACCAAAAACCATATCTCAGGAAATACTCAACCGATTTCAATGAAATTCGGTATATGATATTTTCTTATTACCCTGATGACATTTACTAAATATGGGTGAAATTGGTTCACAACCATGCTTGAAATCTCGATTATCACTTTATCATACGAAAGTATAAAATGTTTAATTGTATTATTGACACAGCAGTGGAACCCTGGTTTGTTATCTTGTAAGATAAATTTTATTTAAAATTTCTTTAACGAACACAACACAAATCCACAAATATTAGGAGCTTGGACATTAGTAGAGGTTTAGTGTTATTTTAATGCATGCTTTGGAAAAGCAAATATTGATGGGTTTTAATAGTAGTCATAGCTATACATGAGTTTTCAATATTATTAAGAACTTTAATATATTGATAATATAGAGTGATAAAATTCTTCTTTTAAGTTGCCTCTCAATCGTCCCACAAGTTCTTGGCTTATCTTATGTAGTGAGCAACTTTTATCCCGGGATGCATCTCAGTGGTGTCGGACTAAAAACTTAATCTAAATACATATACAGCACCAGTAAAAACATATTTATATATTACTTTTTAAAAATTTGTTTACATAAATTTCATATATGTATGTAAATATATACATAGATGACTTTATGTAATTTTGAAAAATTTAAACTTAAACAGGTCGCTGAATGGATGGGACGACGAGAGGCCTGGTCCGCCGAGAAACCAATGGATTCACGAACGAGACCAACACGCTGGGAGTTCCACAATGGACGCGACCACTTTCACGAAAACGACGTTCAGGCAGCGTTGAACAATGAGGGAAATCGCCGTAAGCGTTCAGCAGAAGAGCAACGAAGGCATGTGAATATAAATTTTCTTTCTATCCTCAGTTATGTATTCAATCAATATAAAACAGCATCGTCTATTATTGAAATTCAAGAATTTTTCAAATAATGCTAGCATGCACACATGGACTAGGGGACTTATGAATAATCAAATTGGATATTTTAACTTTTCATTATGAGAATTGATGTATATAAGTTCGTTACAACAGTTAAATTCGCTAAAATATGGATGTTGGTCGTACCGTGAAAATAATATTAGTTGTCTTCGAACCGCTAAACGTTACTCACAAGGAAATCGTACAAACGATACCACATACAAGCGGGAGCCATTGGGGTATAGAGTTATGATTTTTTATTAGAGGAGAAATTCTTTTCTTGTCAGACCTTAACTGATAGGTGGTTACTAACTAGATATTGTGAAAATGAAAAGTCTTATGCTTCAACAACACAAGGAACAAACAATTTCGTATTTTATTTTGTCATTTTAACCATTCACAATAATAAAACTAATCTATAATTTGAAAAACAAAACTTGGTAGCTACGGGCTATACCATATAATACAAATTAGGTATCTGCATSAGAGAACTTAAAACATAGAGAAGGTGCAGGTTCAATGTCGAACATTTTATAAGATTGTGATACGGAATTTCACCTCACAACTACAGAATTCACGCTGTGAAATGTTAACATTTTTAACAGTTCTCTCACATACTCAAACAAAGAATATGAAGAGAAATAAATATATGTATTTTCGGCCTATGATGACATACCATATATGGCCACGCAGAGAATATTGAAGAAAAATAAGTTCTTTGATATTCCACTTTTAACAGCGAAAAATGCTTACAAAACACACCTCTCACACAAAGAACATAAAGACATTTTTTATTCTGTTCTCTGTCTCACATACCCAAGAATATGAAGAGACATAAATATACATACATACATATGTGTATGCCCATGACGATACTCCCAAACAGAGAATATTGAAGAAAACTAATTTCTTTGATATTCCATGGGAAATATGTTTGTAGAACTTTTATTTATTTTTGATTTATTATTTTTCAAATTATTTAATGATAATTTGATCTTATTTTATATTAAGTCATATTAAGTTTAAAAATTTATTTTTCTTTGCAGTTTATTAATAAATTTAAATAAATGTAGTTTCATTTTTATTTAATTTCCAATAAAATTTTTAAAAATGAATTGCTCTCACAGTCTACTTTATTTTATCATGCATTTCTGTTGATTTTTGTACAGAAATTTGACCGGCGTAGAGCAAAATGCGAAACAATCTTACGTATATTATGTGGTGTGCTATGTTCTACAAAAGCATATTGCTATACTTAAACCAAACTATTTGAAACATCGTATATTTCTATCATGCATAACGAAACCATAATTGGGACAATACAATATTATTTTTAATAGTAGTGTTGGAGCTAAGCGCTTGAACAGTCGAGATGAGTACACAGGTTCGAATCTCGGCAGAATTCATCCTAAATTTTTGTCTTTCATTCTTCCATGAGAATAAATTGTAAAATACGAATTTTTCATTATTTTGTCATTTTTGTTGAGCTGCCGGCACTGTTGCAACATTTCTTTTAAGCAGTTTTGCCATCGTGATGAGAAATAGTTTATGGGCAGCGACGCTTATGCAGGAAGATGTGTTGATACGTATGTTGTTGCTGTTTTTGCTTCATTCATATTTTAAAACTTTTTGTAGCCACATACACATACACGTRTTTCTTTGTTTGGCTGAAGTCATATTTATGTTGGTATGTTTGTGATAGACAAGGGATTCCTTGGTGCACATATGTATGTATGTACATATACATTTGATGTTTTGTGCTTTGTGTTTCTAGCGACTTAGTGTTGAATTCTGAATACAGCTCTGAAAACCAATCATGTACTCTTATACTAGACATATGTACATAACTTGTCTATGTACTACAAAACAGTACATTAGATCATACGATTATGACACAAACGGCACTCTAAATCATTGTATAACCCTACAAGTAACAAAAGAATCRGCTRYTTYCCAAGAATTTTTCAMAGCTGAGATCACCTGATCGAAATCTGCCTTTTTTAGGCACAGAGATGTAATTAAGAGAAATGTAGTAGATCAACTTTTTTGTATTATACAATGCTCTGAATAAATGCGTTAATAATATCGGTCACGAGTTTTTCTTTCTCTGCGCGAAAGCTGTCACAAAGGTTATGGGCCCAGATAGATATGGGTTTCAAGTTTTCGCTTCGTAAGAATGTTTAAGTTACGATGATTCGGTTCATTTGCTCATCCGGCGTCAAAAGTAATAAATGCGGTAAAATGGCTAATGCTATAGCTAGCGTCGAAAAATTGAGTGGCGACAATTATGCCACTTGGAGCATCCAAATGAAAACCCTTCTTATCACTCTGGAGTTGTGGAGTGCTGTCGCGGAAAAGTGTCCAGAAGCGGAATCAGAAAAGGCAGCCTGGCTTCTGTGCGACAGGAAGGCCCTTGCCACCATATCGTTGAGCGTAAAGCCAAGCGAACTCATCCATATAAAAAACTGCATCACAGCTAAAAGTGCTTGGGACACATTGAAAGCTATCTACAAGGCAGGCACAGCATGCAGAAAAGTAAATTTATTTAAAAAATTAATTCGGTTCCAATTCAAAACCAGCGAGAAATTTTCGGTTCAACTAAAGGAATTCTGCTGCATCGTAGATGACTTGAAAGAAGTAAGTTTAGAGATGGAAGATGATTTCTTGTCCATTCTATTACTTTGTTCATTACCCGACGAATTGGAGAATATAGATCATCGGTCTATACGTAGACGATATGATTTTGGCTTGCTCAAGCAAAGAAGAAATGCAGAACAATAGAAGTTTTAAATCAGAATATTGAGGCGRTCGATCGCGGTCCAATATCTTTTTATTTGGGTATGGAAGTAGAACGTGATGGTGATCTTGGTGATATAACGATACATCAAACACGATATGCTACGGAACTTATACGGCAGTGGGGCATAACAGATTGCAAACCAGGGGCAACTCCATGGGCTACAGGGACGATACTTAAGAGGTGTGAAAAACATTGCGGCAATTTAGAGACAAAAGCGTACCATAGCTTAATTGGTGGGCTTATGTACCTGGCTATAATCTCTCGCCCGGATATTGCGCATGCGGTATCAAAGTTGTCCCAGTAAAACTCGCATCCGCATAGAGAGCATATGCAAGCTGCTAAATAGGTGCTTCGATATCCGAAGAAAGCTCCAAATGGTAAACTTAAATTTTGTGCTCATTTTGTATGTTTCACAGACGTAGACTGGGGTAGCGATAGTAAAGACAGAAAATCGTACACAATTTATTTCGTTACGATGGCTGGTGGAGCTATAGCTTGGGAGTCAAGAAAGCAGTCTRTGGTTGCGGTAAGCTCAATGGAAGCAGAGTACATCGCATTGTGTCAAGGTGCAAAAGAGACAGTTTTTCTACGTGGTATGCTTTGTAAGCTGGGTTACACGGACTATACAAAATGTCCTACTACGGTTTTATGCTACATCCAAAGTGCGCAGTTTATGTTAAAAAACCCGATGGTGCTGAAGTGAAGCAAGCACATCGACATTCGGTATCACTACATCCGTGAGAAATACGATGTTGGGCAAATAGATGAAAAGCACATTCCAACAAATGAGAATGCAGCAGAAACATATTTATAATTTCGAATTGATGAACATTAATATATAATTTTGAATGTTTAATACTTTGGCTTATTTTGAAGGGGCGTTTGTTGAATTCTGAATACAACTCTGCAAACCAGTCCTTTACTCCTATATTATACATATGTATATAACTTGTCTATGTACTGTAAAACAATACTTTAGATCATACGATTATGACAAAAACGACAGTCTGAATAAATGCGTTAATAATATCGCTCACGAGTTTTTCTTTCTCTGCGCGAAAACTGTTACACTTAGCTCAAATTTTTTCACAGGCGTATGAATATTTGTACGTATCTACATATGTACATATGTATCATGCTTCTATAGCTTGCCTGCGTATGCCATAGAATTGGTGCGAATGTAGATATTATATAGAGATAATGGGAATATGCATATGTGAAGGTCATTCAGTTCTTTTTTTTTAAGAAATGAAAGGAATGACGTGCTTATATGACCACATTTCAGTTCATTTGGCACACCTTCTTTTTCTAATATTTAAAATAAATATAACTTTTTTGAAATAATTTAAAAATTAAAAAATAAAATAAAATTATTTTGTATTTAATTTTTCACTATTTTGTAAAAAAATTAACATTTTTACCAATTTTCTAAAAAAAAAAATKGTTCATATGATAAAAAATAATCATGCATATGTGACGCAGAGAATGTTTCTTTCTTTTGTATATTTTTCTTCAAAGTATTTATCTTTATTCATTCTCGCATGAATTCAGTCGTTTGAGCCAGAGAACGTGTTCGATTCTGCTAAATAGCAGCGAGAATGGTGAAGTTCCGTACCACAATCTTATAAGTTATGTTAGCCGTCCAATCGAACATCATACAGAATTCAATTTGCACCTTCTCTATGTTTTAAGTTCTCTGACCTACCTCGCAACGTTTCGATCGAACACAACACGTGCGGGATGGGATATATACCGAAAGTTAAAGAGGGAAGTGAGATGCATTTGCAGACAGAAAGAAAGAAGCCGAAATGCGTAAGTATGAAGAGCTGGCTGGGTTATGCTCGAAAATTCTACGAAAATATCCGGCGGCAACCAGAAGGTTTCAAAACTGGAGCATACTCTGCTAGAACCCCTAAAGATGATCTAGTGACCAATGTCCAGAGCATACTAAAATTTTGGAGGAAACACTTCTCCAACCGGCAGAATTTCAGTGAAAGTATAACGCCAGGAGAAGGCAAACTCCATTTCCTATCCGATGACGATTTAGCAGACGTTCCATTGAATGACCATGAAGAAGTTCGAATATCAATTACCCGTCTGAAAAACAACAAAGCGGC